TTCAAAAATCCTGACTTGCTTTTGAAATGTGTATGTGTATGTGTGTACGGTGTGTGTGTGTGTGTGTGTGTGTGTATGTGTGTACGGGGTACTAGGGATTGAACCTGGAGCCTTCATGCTGAGCTTTATCCCTAGCTCTTTTTAAAATTTTTTATTTTGACACGGAGTCTCACTAAGTTGCTGAATTGCCCAGGCTGGGCTTAAACTTGTGATCTTCCCTCAGCCTCCCAGAGTGCTAGGATTGCAGGCGTGCACAACCAAGCCTGACTCTGATGTTATTCTTGTTGTTCTTGTACCTCCAGAAAGGTGGGCTAAAATAAGACCATCTTATGGTTAGAGAAGTTAGGTAGATCAGGGGCCCCACAGGTGGATGGGTTCACAGCTAGGTTAGGTACACACGTGGGCAGGTTCACAGACTTTCCCTGGCCCCGGCTCCCTTTGGGCACCACCTATGTCTCTATGGAAAGCATGAGGCAAGACTGCTTCCTTGAATGCTTCATCAGGTGCACAGCTGGGTCCTGGAGATGCCCCAAGCAGCCTGGCCCGTCCAATCCTCAGTCTTGGGCTAAATCCGCCTATTTGTCCCCAGATCACACGCTGCCCCATGATCCCATGCTACATCTCCTCTCCGGATGAGTGCCTCTGGATGGACTGGGTCACAGAGAAAAGCATCAATGGCCACCAGGCCAAGTTCTTCGCCTGTATCAAGAGGAGTGATGGCTCCTGCGCATGGTACCGTGGGGCGGCGCCCCCCAAGCAGGAGTTTCTGGACATTGAGGACCCGTAAGGGGCCACCAGCACCCCTGTGGCCAATTGAGAAGCCTCCAAGAGTTTAGACTGGTCCAGCCCTGACGTCCCTTCCTGGAAGCAGCATGAATAAAACTGTCATCCACATGGGTCACATCAGTGTGATTCTGCCCCTCCCCATTGTCCTTCTAAGCATGGTTGTGGGCTGAAGGGAATGGTGGGCTCAGATCCTCCTGTATCACTCCCTCCGCCAGCCTGCGTACCGTGTGTCTGTCTTCAGTCCTGGTGTGGGCCAGGGTGGGACACAGACTTCCCACTCAGGCCTCCTTGGCACCATCACAGAGGCCAGGCAGGGAGCACTGAGGGATCTCCGTGGCCTGGTCAGGGCAGAGCCTGGAAATGTGCATTTTGCAGAAACTCTTGAGGGTCACTGTAAGACTATGTAGCAGGCCTACCAGGTCCTTTTCATCCTGAGAGGGATGTGTCCCTCGTTTTCTGCAGCAGCCACCTCTCTGGCCTAGGGTGGCCATCCCTGCTCCTTGCAAGTGCCCCTCATCTCCCCTGGGCCCACCATGGACTCCCAGCACCTGTGACTCCCCCAGGTCCTGGAGCAGTCCTGGAACCAGTGGCTCATTCTTACAGAAGCCCTACTCAGTCATGAATCTGCAGAATTCCAGTAGGAGCTTCCCTTGGGGCTCATAGAGATGTGCAGCAGGAGACCTTGCTGAGCTACATTTTGACTTCAGCCAAGTCTCTCCGGCCCCCCACCCCACAGACCCCAGCCCCATGTGGGGATCTCTGCAGTACCCTGCAGGGCAGTTGTCCGGTAGGCAGGTTGCTTGGCTGCCCTTGTAGTTCACCCTAAGCTTCTGCAGTTTCTTCTGCCTCCTTCCTGTCTGGCACTGGGGAGCTGGATTGAGCCACAGAGCTTTGGTTCCCCCAGGCTGACATGCAGCTTGGCTGGCCGAGTCCTGTTTACACACATTGATGCAAATGCTGGTCCCACAGGCTTAGAGACATCTCCCTCCAAGACTAATGAGCACTATTTCTGCTGCAGATTTCTGCAGGTGACATTAGCTAAGTGTACTATGCCCCACCCCGGGAGGCAGGCAACTTGCGTGACACTCAGTTCTTTCTGGGCCTCCAGGATGCTGTGACCTGTCTTAAGGAACATCTCATTTTTCTAAAGATGAATTCTTAGATGATGTGTGACCTGAGTTGATTTGTGCCAAGATCTGCTTCTGTTTCCTATGTCACAGAGATTACCCACTTCCAGACACTTCACAGGGAACTAGGGAACCCACTGTGCCAGAGAAATGGCTTTCTGGTGCCTGGACCATGGCAGAACTTTCTCAGTGACAACACAGAGAGTCTTACTTCTTTTCCTACCTATGTTATAAAGGTAAACTTCTCTGCAGACACACACACACACACACACACACACACACACACACACAAAATGCAAACACATTCATGTGTGCGCGCAAAATGCAACTGAAATCTGGCAGCCTGGGAGTGGCCCTTCTACAAAATGCTTCCCAAGTCACCATCCTCTAAGCCTGTTCCATTCTGCAGCGGTCCCAAGCCCCTGAAGACTCCTGACCCCCAAGTGGCATGCAGCTCCTCTGCCCACTGGGACCTGGTCAGCACAGAACTCGATGACTTCCCTTTCTAGGACAGACTGGGAGAACATCCAGGAATCAGGCCCTGCCCCTAGGTCATTTTCATGCTGTACAGTGATATACAGTTGGTGAGATGTCATAATGGACCAGTCCATGTGATTTCAGTATATACAACACCACCAGACAGCCCCCCCCATCAATATAACACCCCACCCTGTTTGCTTCCTGTATGGTGATATCATATGTAACATTTGCTCCTGTTTCTGCTGACTTCTGAAATGTTTGGGTTTGTTTTGACATCCGCTGTGATCATTCCTGTGCTGTGATTTTTATTACCCTGGGTAGGTGTTAGACTTGCACTTTTGAGACACAGTTACTGCATCACGGAAGCATCTGACCCAGAGTGGAAGGCATGGCATGGTAGCTGGCCCGTGACAGTGGATCCCTTCAAATCTTTTCTTTAGTTCCTTGAGCATCTTTGCTTTTTCTGCCTCCCATCTTTTGTTCTTGAGTTCAGATTATTACTAAGGAGAGGGCCTCTGAGTAGGCTGGTTCTAAGATATGGCCTTTATATTCGATCCACGCACACTGGTTTTCTAACCATGCTGAGCAGCAGAAGAAAACAAGGCAGATCAAAAGGAAGTGCCCGTGGCAGCCGAGAGATGGAGCCACTCAAATCCCTTCACAGTAAATAACTGCAATAGATACATAGTTTAAGAAGGCTCTCCCTTTGGCCTTGTTTAATTTATGTTATATTCTAAGCACCGCTCTCTTCTCCCTCTATTCTCATCATGCAAGCAAGTCAAAATATTTAAAATGAAGTTTACATTGTAGTTGTTTTAAAAATCTTTGCTTGATAAGTATTAAGAAATATTGGACTTTTCTGCCATAATTTAAAGCTTTGTTGATTTTGTTTTTGTTTGGATTTCTTTTTGTTGTTGTGGGGGTAGCAATGTGTTCATGCTGGAATATGAAGTCTGAGACCCCCCTGTGCTGGGAACACATGAGATTGTTGAAAATCAACAAGCAGACTGCGCATGTCTCTGATGCTTTGTATCATTTTTGAGTGATTGCTCCGTCAGTGGACAATAAACAATATTATCAAAGAGAAGCCTGGCTCTGTCTATGTGGCTGTCTCAGTGCTCAGAACTGCTGCTTTCTAGCTCAAGAATGAGGACCAAGCACCTGCAAAGCAGCCTCTCCCGTCTAGGGGAGGGGCTCCCTCTGTGTCCAAGGGCAAAAGGCCTGCGTGCTTGGAGAGGGTAATGTGGGCTTGGCTATGACAAGGCAGACAGAGTGAACCTGGTTTTCTTCTTTTTCTTTTTCAGTACTGGGAATTGAACCCAGGGCCTTCGTACTGGGCCATCCCTGGGTCTCTTTTTAATTTTTGAGATGGTCTTGTTAAGTTGCCCAGGCTGAGTTTGAACTTGCGGTCCTCCTGCCTCAGCCTCCTAAAGTGCTGAGATTACAGGCACGTACTGCAGTACTCAGCTGGGAACATGGTTTTCTTTTCTTTCTTTTTTTCTGGTACCAGGGATTGAACTCAGGATGTGCTTGCCAGGCAGGTAGGTGCGGCTGAGCTACATCCCTGGCCTGAATATTTTTTTGTTTGTTTTGTTTTTTGGTGCTGGGGATCGAACTTGGGCCCTTGCGTTTGCGAAGCAGGTGGCAGAACCAGTGAGCTAAATCCCCAGCCCTGAATATGATTTTCTTAAGCGGGCAAAGAGCCAGGAGGATACACCAATGTCCCCTTCATCCATTCAGCACATACAAATTTAGAGAGAGCCAGTGAACTTCCCCGTTCCTCTTGTGTCCACACCCACCTGCCTGGGGCTATCTGGCAAGAAGAGTCCCAGTTTCACTTGTAAATATCTCAACACCTCTGTCTGAAAACTAAGAAAAGCTTTGAAAACATTCCAGGAACGCCTTTATCACACTTTAAAAGTGTCCTTAGGGTTTATTAATGTCATCAGATATCTAGTCAGTATTCTGACATCTTTGGCTGTCTCATAAATGCTTTTCACGGTTTACTGCTTTGAATTAGGATACAAATATAATCCGTCAGTTGCAATTGGGCCGTGTCATGGTATGGATATGGTCGGTCCTGCAGGGTCCTCAGTGTGGTGCTGTTAACAGGTGGGGCGACCTTAAAGAGGTGGGGCCTGTGGGACCATTACTGGTTTCTGAGCTTCCTGGCTTCCTGATTGGCCAGGTGATCTCTCCTTCTCAAGCACACACACCACGACGCCTTCCACCATGATAGGATGCAGCCCAGGGGGCCCTCACCAGAGACCAGATCAGTGGAGCTGCCCAACTTGGGTCTTTCAGTCTCCCAAACTGTGAGCTAAATGAACCTCTTTTTTTTTTTAATAAATTACCTACCTCAGATGTTTTCTTATAGCACCAGAAAATGGGCAAATATAGTTGATATGTCTCACAAATTTTTTTTTGTATATCCTTTTATTGGTACATTTTAGGTATACAATATAATGACATGCATCACTGGAAGTTTGCACCTTTACATAATCTCTCTTGGTTCTTATTTTTCCCCCTTCCCCTGCCCTCCCTTCAGCCCCTCCGCCCCTCCCTGTTTACAAAAACTCTGTTTCCTTTCATTTTCTCATACTAATTCCATTCCCCTCTTTCCTTTCCCCCACCCCTCCCACTTCCCCTTCCCCTTTTGTCTCAAATCTTTTTAATTACAGGTTTCTCCCCGCCCCATCCCAGTCTATCTCAGGCTGGGAAAGAAGGTCACATCATATCTTAAATTCTAACCAAATGTTTCAGATATTTCAACCTAGCATATGAAAAATATAATTCTCATTAGAATTTGAATAGTTGCCCATCCTCTGGCCTACATGCAAAACTGGGGACAGCTGGAAGAATTATTTTCCATTTTGCATAGCTGCTACCTGAAAAGCAAGAACAAACTTTCTGAAGCAGTAAAGAGTGGAACCAAGTTTGTACCAATGTCTGTGCCCCAAGATGTTAAATTCTCCCCATTTATCATCCTCCACTGCAGAAATATTTGGCTTGGGTTTTCCATATGGTGAAATATTGGGGGAAGGTCAGCAGCATACTACGATAATAATACAAAGACTTTCAGAGGCATTCAAATGACTCCCCTTAGCTGTGGTCCATCTCAGCCTGCTAGCCACATTTCCACCCTAGCAAACTGCACATCAGCTAATTGCTGCGCATGTCACTCATTTATGTATTTAGGTCAAATATGACATAAAAAAAAGAAAAATAATTTCTCATTATGGAAATTTTCAGACATATACAGAAATGCAGAGAATGATAAAAGAAACTCCATGTGTCCGTAATCCATTTTCAACAATTGTCCAAGTTTTGTCGGTCTTTGCAAGCAATTCTAAGTCAGTGTGTGGACCCACGTTGGGGCAGCTGACTGTCAGGGGTCCCAGCAGACTGCCTGTTCACCAGACTGCCCACCCAAAGACACAGGTGGGTTCAAATTGGAAATGCAGCTGCAAACACTTCAGGGTCCAACTGCAGAGACATGGGGCCGTTCCCGTTCCTTTCCATGGTCGTCCCCCCTCTGGAGAGACTGAGTCCCTAAACCCCCATGGGGCAAATCGAATCACTCCAACAGCAGCTACCATTCAGTCTATGCCAGCACTGCTGCTGTCACACCCTGTGTCACATTTAATGCATGCCAACCACACAGTCCTCTAACTCCCCCACTGGACAGATGAGGAAACAGGCCAGCATGGTGGAGTTGCTGGTCACCCAGCTGAGTGGTGCTGACTTTCGGCAAGAGAGAAGGCAAAGAGCGGCTGCAGGCACTCAGCTCTATGGCTTGGGAGTGACATCCATTGCCTCCTCCCGGCTCATCACAGAGGACTGTCAGGAGGTGCCACAGCGGTGAGAAAGGTAACCCTGGCCACCAGCCACTTCCCGAGCCCAGAGGAGGACTGTGAGGCTTGCGACCGTAAAACCCAGCCTGTTGTTTCTGAGCTGCTCCGTCGAGATGTAGCTCACTCTCAACGATTCATGCAGTCCAGTGCACAATCTGATGGTTTGAGCTCCATTACAATTCATTAAAAAAAAACCAACTCTAGTACCATACTTATAAAATCTGCCATTTTAATCATTAATTATATAATTCAGTGGCATGTTACATTTATAGCATTTTAACAAGCACTACTACTTCCAAAACTTTTTCACCCCCCCTCAAACAGAAACTAAAACCATTAACCCTTGGCTCCCGATGTCCCCTCCCTGGTGACGGGCAATCTATTTTCTGCCCTATAGATTTGCCAGCTCTAGATAGGTGAGGTAAGTGGAATCATACAGTAGGTGGTCTTTTGTGTGGAGCTTACTTCACTTAGCAGGCTGTACTCAAGGTTCATTTGCACTGTAGCCTGTGTCCGTCCTGCCCTGGGTACTATTCCACTGCATGATGCCTCATGTGTTTATCCAACAGTGGGCACCTGTGTTTCTTCCACCATAAGCTACAGTATTTCGAACATTTCTGTGAATACAGGTGCAAATGTCTGCTTTTCCCCTGCTTTCAGTTGGGCCTATCTATGGTAGTTTTGTGTTTAGCATTTTGAGGAACCTCTGCGTTTCCACAGTGGTGGTCCACATTACATTCCCTCCAGCAATGTGGGAGGTGTAGTGTGTTTTCAAGTTACCTTTTCTCGACCTCTCCTAAGGGGGCGGTTCCCAAACACCCTTGTTAGGCCATATGACAATTCACAGTATTCAGGAAACTTCTAGTGTGTAAATTCAGTTATGAGGTCACGGGGCCTGGAGGTTACATTAAGATAAACCCAAATCACATTGGCAATCATGAAGTATGAGCTCTCTACACATTAGGGGAGGATTCTGGAGAAACCCATGGAGCAGGATAACCTACAGAGACAGAGCTGCCTTACCCGCTTGGCTCCATGCACAGGTCCTGGCCTTGGCTTCATGTATGGTCAGTCTGGCCTCCTGCTCTGCACTCTGCTCAGCACCCCTTCTGATGCCACTGCTGGGCTCACTCCTGCCTTGAGTCCTCTGCCCATGCTGCCCCTCCTGTGGAACTCTCTTCCTCGTTCTTCCCACAGCCAGTTCCCAGTCTCCATAGCTTTAGACAGGTCCCAGACCCCCCAGGGTCATCATTCATCATCTTAATTATGCAAATTTGATTCTCTGATCATTCCTCGCTTGCTGTTAACTAGTGCAAGGAGCAGTGACCAAGATATACTACTGCTTGGTGCCACAGGGTCGTATGAAGGGGTGTCAGTCCAGGAGGACACTGAGGAGGGTGCGGAGAAGAGGCGGATGAGGGCAAAGAGCCCCGAGATCAAGGTCCCTGGCAGGAGAGGGGTGGGGCATGGCAGGAGGCAGCAGACTGATGGGAAGGTCTGGGAGGAGTGTAAGAGTGGGCGCGAGGGCTCTGAGGGCGTGCGTGTGAGAGAAAATTAGTGCATGAAAAGTGAGTATGAGCGTGACTATGGTGCAAACGTGTGGCATGAATGTGAGTGTGCGCGTGTCAGGGAGATCCCTGGGGCCACGCCCCTTGTGGAGTGGAAGGGTCCTGTGGCCTGGGCACAGGGTGGCTGAGGTGGCAGCCCTGAGGCTCTGACCCAGTGTCCCCAGACCCAGGAGTCCAGCTGACAGCCCGGGGCTCTGGAGGCTGGATGAGCCCTAGGGTGCGCTCACCCAACCCTAAGCAGGGGAGGCAGCCCCCGTGACTGAGGTTCTGAGGTTGGCATCTCCAGCTGCCGCAGGGCTCCGAGAGACAGGGGAGACCACTAGGAACCAGGATTTATTTCAGGTTTTAGGTGAACACCAGCTCAACGGACTCTTGTCCAAAGGGGGTGTGACGAACAAAGAAAAGTTCCAGCTTTCATCCATTTGATCGAAGGGGGATTGTCTTTCTAGTGATGTAGCAAGTGAGTTTAACGTAACAAGGAACAAGACAAGGGCAGACAGTCTTGTAACTTATCCTTGAAAGAAGACAGTGTCTTATGAATCATGTGAGAACAGGGTGTCATAAACTTTGTTTACAAGACACAGTTGTCAATTTTATCTGTACCAGGAACAAGGAGTTACAGCTACAAGGGGTGGGGTGTGATCTGAGGGGGGGAAATGCCCAAG